TATTGAAATTTCAATTAAAATACGTAATAATTTAACATAGAGGATCAAAAAAAAGGTAATCTGGCTCTTAAAAGTCCCTTTGTAACATATTAACTTAAAAAGAAATACCAAAAAATTTCTAATTATATATAATATTATTTTTCTATTTTGTTATGAAGATTGAAAGATTAAAAAAGATCGTACTTTTAGCTTATAATGATCGTACATCGTACAAACTGCAAAACGATCTTATACGTATGATTTGTATATAACGGTTGGTGTCACTGGACGCGACGCTCAAGCAGGGTTGCCAACTTTATTTTTTAGAGGATCGTACCATACACTAGGATAAATCGTATTTTGATTATAAAATTTAAAAAAAAAAAACAAAATGAAACGCATTGAAATTTCAATAAAAATACAACTTAAAAAAAAGGTCAGCTGCCTTTGTAAGTTTATATAATATTATTTTTGTACTTTGTTATGAAGATTGTAAGATTTGAAAAGATCGTGCATTTTGCTTATGATGATCGTATATCATACGGTTGGTTGCACTGCACATAAGGTGACTTTTGTACAGATCATTAATCGTCGTTGGTGTACTTTAGAGATTTAACATGTATGATGTAACGGTACGCTATCCCTGTTCTTTCGCTACTGTCACTTGATAATATTTAATAAAATGAATTAATCTATCTATTTCGACGACACGTTTGGCTCAGTTTATAGTGATCCTACTTGCTGTGCCAGCGGTTGCAGGTTCGAGTCCCGCTGGGAGCATTCATTTGTGTGATGAGCACGAATGTTTGCACTCCAGATATGGGTGTTTATATTTATAATATGTATGTATTTAAAGTTATGTATGTGTAGTGTATCAACTATCCATAACACAAGCCTCGTAGCTTACCATGGAACTAGATGGCGTTGTGTGTTAATGTCTTCACATATTTATTTACATATTTACATTTACATTTAATATCCACTTGTTTTTTTATAGTTATATACCTATGTATCCCATCCCAAAAGACTCAGTTAGAATTTTATTATATGTATAGATTAATAGTTTCTTAGATTTACGCGAATATTGGACATTTTAAATAAAACTATCTTTTCGGATTTTTTCGCGCTTCGCTTTACAGCAATCATGGTCACGGAAGAGACTAGAGTGTTAAATGTCTCAAAGGTATTATATAGTTGTTACAGACAACCTACCCATAAAATCCAACAAGATAGTTTTATTTAAAATGTATAGATTACTAAAGATACAACGCAAATAATAATGTAATAATCATTTCAAATAAATATATACCGCCATCTGCATCTGTGGCCTGTGACGCAAAGACAGCGAATGTAAGAGCGGTGATGTGTAAGGACTGGAACAAGGACTGAGGCAGCACTGACGACATTTTGAGATATAATATTTCATTTTTTCAAAACAAATTGGTATTGATCGCGACAAAATTTAAACAAATCTATTTATAAATATAAATTAAAAATTAAAAAACACTCCTACGCAAATTAATTGTCATTTAACGCTTACACTGGTACGCCTGAAGCACTTAATCGAGTAATCATACGCCAAAATGCCTTACATCGTTTTGGCAAAGAGCTGATACTCTCACATTGCTAGACCGATATTAACCAAACATAGCTAAGAACCACCGCAAGGAAACCGGCGTTCAAATGAAAAAAACCGCATCGAAATCGGTCTATCCGTTTGAGAGCTACGATGACACAGACAGGCACATATACACACATAGACAGAAATCGACGCCAAACTTATAACACCCATCTTTTTCTCTTTTTACGTCGGGGGCTAAAAAATGAATGATGCTAAGCGCAATTCAGGTTTTATTTTCGTATGTTCCTTATAAGGTACACGGAAAGTTTTAATAAAGACAAAAAATTTAAAATAAGGTAAATATAATATAAAACAAGTCGTGTTAGTTACACCATCTATAACTCAAGAAAGGCTGGACCAATTTGTATGGTATTTGATTTTTTGGATTTCTCTTAGTCCGGAATAGGATAATAAGTATTAAGGACATCAGAAAAATGAACCAAAAAAGTATTTAAATTTATATGACTAACGCTGGCTAATAAGAATAAGAAGCGAGGGTGAGTCACTGCCCGCTAGTAATTAAAAAAATGTTAAATGGTACAATTAATTTCACCATTGTTTTTATAAAAAGATGTGTACATATTTTATTTATAACTAACTACCTAGCGACTCACCCTCGCTTCGCTCGGGGTTTGTCCCTAGCTTGCTTCCCAATACAAACTTTCATCCCCATTTTCAACCCCTTAACGAATGAGTTCGGGGATAAAAAGTACCCTATGTCCTTCCCAGGGTCTCAAACTATGTTCTTACCAAATTTCATCTAAATCGGTTCATTAGATCCAGAGATTACCCCCTACAACGTCACAAACTCACAATCTCACAAGCTCACAAACTTTAACTTTTTATTACCCGACTGCAAGGACAGGGTTATGTTTTTCGCGCCTATCTTTGTATGTTTGTAATATTCTTTATTCCCTCATATCTTCCAAACCACTCGATGGATTTTTTAAATCGGACCCAGTTATGCAAAAAACAGCGATGTGCGTAAAAGTACCAACAGAATTATACGCATTTTATTATAAAAAATAAACAATACTTATATAAATATTGTTCAATTTTAAAATAACCAGAAAAACAAAACATAACCCAAGTGAAACTATCGACAGAAAAATGCTTATAACTCTGTTGGTACTTTTACTGTTTTTTGCATAACTGGGTCCAATTAAGGTATCGTTATTCGTTACATTCGTCTCATTAGTCCAAGTATTCTTAGATAGGTGACATAAAAAATATGGGGGCTGTTAGATTCCGTAATGTGAAAAAGAAAAATAATGAAAATCGACAAACTATGTCAAGTCAAGGGATATCGTTGAATAGGTATTTCAAAATCATTTTTAGGTTTCTTTCATAACATATATATATAAATAACATAAATAACAGTTTAGGATATATAAATATTTAACACGTTCCGGGACACTTAAATTTTTTTTAGTCTCACGATATGACATTCAAAATTTCCATACATTCGAACATATCGTCCATTGCCGTATTGCCAATTTACATTATTTTTTAGTTTTGCGATAAGGCAATTACGGTCATAGACGTTAACGCCTATAGGCGGACCGTCATATTATGAATAGTTATGTACAATGTACTATGACAGTTCGGCTAGGGCCGGTGCCGCCAAAAGACGATGTGTCATATCATATAGATCTGAAAAGGTGTATTAGTGTGTAAACTTCTAAAAAAAACCTACAAATTTAATACTTATAAGTTTATTGATCACAGTATGTTTTTCTAAATTCTTAAACAATATGTACCTTAAATTCTTGTTTAGTCTTATTTAGTATAAAGTAAAGAAATATATTTGAAAACAGGAGAAACTATTTGTGTGTGTTAGAACTAAGAGTTAAGTGCCATTTTTCGAAACATTATATGTATATCATCAAGTTTCGTAAGACTTCTTATCAACCTGTCTCTGTTCTCTACATATCCGTATTTCTTGTCACTATTCTTTATTCATTTTTTGAATAAAAAGAAAGAGTTCCATGGCGTAACATCTAACATGTGAAAGAGTACTTTTTTGTACCATCTTATTCTTTTTCTCGGACACGAATAGTAAGAGATCATTTGATCGGCACGATCAATTCGTGGGGACGTAGAGGAGAGATTTGGGTATATCTGTTCGGTACGATGGTGAAGATAAGATGATTCATAGGCATGGGAATGTAGGCGAGGTTCCTGAGAGCCCATTACATCCTCTTCTTCACGGTATACTATCACAGCTTGGTCATCGCAAGACTTTTCACCTATTTCCTCTTCTGTTACCGGGTTGTCATCATTCAAACTAGAATCATCCAACCGGCTTGGACGACATCTGCAAAATATAATACGTAAATACTTATAATACAAACAGTAGGTAGCTAAAATAGCAGGTAAATATCATTCGAATAAAGTCTTTTATTGTCACTTGTATAACATATTTCTATCCCTACCTAAATAAAAACAACACTATAGGACAACACAACACATTTTCCATCAGATTTATATCATATTATAGTATAAATAAACTTTATTTACCTTGCATTTGTTGACAAAAATCACTAAACACGTACAACATAGCAAAGATTAACTGGCAGTGCGCGCGCTGTGACACTGAATTCCGAAATCACTGTACTTGTATGACTGACTTTACGCCTCTCGACGGTGTACTTGTATTTGTTGGGTGTGAAACCACTGCGTGTATGCGTGTGGAAAAAGTACTTGAATAGAGTTTACCGTGACAGCCATCACCGAACGGAGGCATGTGATATGACACTAGATCACGTGCTTCCTAGTAATGATAGGGATAACCAACGGCCATCGACGCTTTGTCAGATATAATAAAATAAAAGTAGCCGCCCATAGCCGTACTGTCACATAACACGATGCCAATTTAACGTCGAGAGGCGGTCTGTCCCGGAAAGTGTTAAAGTCGGTCAACAACCATTGTCGCTAATTTTTCTACTTAAAAATAATTAAAAAGCTGTAAATAAATAAATATTTTAAAAAAGTAAAAAACCCGACTGCATATAAAAGCTAACTAAAAATATGTAAACAACTCATGATGGAATATAGTATTATACAGCCGGAGACATACACACGAGTATGAACATCTCGCGGCGAAGATGAAACGTCCATATTTATTTATTTTTTATGTCACCCATGTAAGAACACTTGGACTAATGAGACGAATCTAACGATACCTTAAATAAAGAAATCTATCGAATGGTTTGGAAGATATGAGGGAATAAAAAATGTTACAAATAAACATACAAAGATAGGCAAAAAAAATATTAAAAAAATCAAAACTGTGGGTGGTATTTTGGTTTCATATAACATAAAATTAATCAAACCATACCTACTCAAATTACTCAGAATTGCTGAAGTTGGTCAAGCCTGAGCCGGTCAACGGTCACAAATGTCACATCACAAAAGATATCACAAAAGAAAGTGTTCTAAAAGTGAAAAATTATACTTCTTCAGACAAAAAGTGGGGTCCACCAGACACATGCAGTGTCGGGCCTGTCTTGGGGTAGGAACTAGCGGGGCTGTTCCGGGCGAGAGCGAGCGGATCGCATCATCGGACTGGCGACGTCTTATTGACCTTGCGTGCCTGGAATCGGACATTGAACCAGGAGGTTCCATCTGAATGGCGCCAAATTAGACCAGCTTGGCGACAGACCGGCTTCCCTCAAGGCGGCTGACCCCACTTAACTTTTAATATTTATTATACTTATATCTATATTTTGAGATAATTTCAATAGCGCGTTTTAGGACGTTGACAGATTCATTTAGTGTAATATTGTTTTTGTTTTTTTTTTCTTTAACAAACATTCACCTTAAAATGATATATTTAAAATCCAATAGAATATACATAATATGGCATGTAGTTTAAAAGAATTTTGTGTGCAATAAAAGTTAGTCGTCAGTGTCACTAGAATATTTAAAATTTATTAAGTTTATTTTTTACTTTACTTCGGAGGATTGGCAATTTGAACACTAAAAGTTAACTCTGTTTAAATTATTATAAATAAAAAATGTACACATCTCTGTAACAGAATAACGGTTAAATTAATTGTACCATTTCAAATTAATTATTAAAATTATTTATTTTAATCTTATTGCGATCAATACCATCTGGTTCTAAAGAAATAAAACTTCATTTCATAAAGTGTCGCCAGCGCTGTCTCAGTACTTGTTCTAATCCTTGCACGTCGACCGTTGTTACTCTCGCTGTCTTTGCATCACAGCAGGTGGCGGTATTTATTTATTTAGTTTTTATGCTTACGTATTTTAAAAATTAAATAGACCGATACTGATAAATATATTAAATCTTTCCATATAAATAAAGTTTATTCATTCGATTAAACAAATTTTATTTTAAAATAGTTGCTAAACTATAACGTTAGATGGCGCTGTTATTTAACAATGAAAACGCAATGTGTAATAAGCTGCGATAGATGGCGCTGTACGATTATTTCATTATTATAAAATTAAGTTTTACATTTTTCTTAATATATATTTTTAGACATTTATGTATGTATAATAATTTTAAATAGCATAGAATATTTTTAAAACGACAACTGTTGCTTTTAGTTTTAGAGCAAAAACATAAAATAAATATTTAACATTATTTTATATTATATTCAACTAATTCATCTAATTCACAATATAATGATATAATATTTTAAAAATTATAGCATCTGGTGGTTATCTTCAATATCCTAATTATATTTAATTTAATGTCAACCACCCTTAGACTTAGATAATAAAAAATACGGAGCGAGCTAAAAACTGTGTTTGAAACGTTAATGTCGACTTTTATATAAAATCTCATTAGAAAAATATTAAATTTATATAGGAAAAAAATATAAAAAGTCAGTACATAATAGTTTTATTACATTTTTTAAATTTTTTAAGTGATTGTTTCGTTCGTAAGTACCTATTCCTAGAGCTCAACGCAACTTTCCTAAAACACGCTATTGATATTTTCTCGCAAAATATTTATATATAAAATAAATATGCTAAGCCCCTCGGGGTCTGCCACCTTGAGGGAAGCCAGTTGCCGAGCTGGTTGGCGTCGGCACCGTGGGCACTCCTAGTGCTCATAACGGAGCCCGGCGCGACGCTGCAACACGCAGCCAAGTCCCGCTGGAGCTCGCTCTTAACCAACCACTACTCAGTTCCGGCTGAGTAGTCGTTGCCCTCAACAGATTACCACCACCATCTGGTGGTGATCAAACAACAAAAACCAACAACAACCAACACAAACAACAACAACAAAACCACCCTAAAACAACAGCCCCCGGCCGTTCTCACCTCAAGGAAGGCGTACGCGTAACGCGTGTTACCCCACTTTTTTTGAAATTATTTTCGTAGTACCAAATTTTATCAATTTAATTAGCTTATATTTGTGTGAGTTCATTGCATTTATCTTAGGGCTTAATAAAATGCTTTGTCCTGACTGACTAATCGATCAACGCACAGCATAAACCGGTGGTTGTAGAAACGTGATATTTGGAAGACGTATTCCTTATATATTGTTGGCATCCGATTAGAAGGGATTTTTGAAAATTCCACCCACATGAGGGTAAAATGGGGATGAAAAATCTCATGAAACTGACCTGTTTATTCTTTACCACACGTGAGACGTGGTCGTGGAGATTGAGCTAATACTGGTATAAGCTCATTCTGTCTGTCTGTCTATCTGGTTTCTACACCCCTAATGTAATAGCCTCTATTTTTTATGCGGTACTGCGGCCTGAATCGTTTTCTTTTTGCGTTTTTTTAACCTACTTCCAAAAAGGAGGAGGTTCTCAATTCGTCGGAATCTTAGTACTCGAAGACACCTGAACCGATTTGGATTTTTTTTTTGTTTCAAAGGTTACACCTACTTCTCAGATATACATTTTATCGAAATCGGTCGAGCGGTTTTTAAAAAAATCAACAATAAATATATATTTTTTTTAAATAAACTGTTTAATCAAATATGTTATTAAAAAACTTTCTTCTTATTTGTACCTGCTTATTACGTCTACACTAAAAATGGAAAAATAAAAACTTAAAAAAAAAACCGACTTCCAGATACTAAAATGTAAAAAATAACTAAATGGATGTGATGATGAATAGATACCTAATCAGATATGAATATCTAATAGGTAAATATGTATTTTACGTATCGAAATATATTAGATTTGCTTTGCATCGGCTTAGAAACAACTCATAAAATTAAAAGCGCCATCTTTATACACGTCATTATTATGCCTGATGCTGAATTTTCAATTAAATGAGTAAAATCGGATAAATTCTATTTATTTGCAAATTATTTCGTTTTTGATCACTTTTTATTGAATCTTTTTTGCGTTTTGAACACATTTGAACTATTATTTTCTTCCCGATGAGACGCTATGACTTTAGTGAGTAGGTAAACTTATCTTAGCAGTTCGCTGTATCACACACTAGATGGCACTAGTAGACTCGTGAAATAAAATTCTTTTCTATCGGACCTTAATAATAAATGAAAAAATTAAAATGTTAATCTTTAATAATATGTGAAGCAAAATAAAAAAAAACATAGCACGAGACGATATTCATTCTATTGAAAATACTATTGTAGTTTATTTTACAATATGTATGTTATATCTACAATCATTATTCTGGGGATTTGCGAATGCCCAAATTTGTTTCCTCTTCACACTGAAACGGCTAGACGAATTTGGGTGTAGTACACAGATACGCTATAATCTGGAGTAATGTAAGGGCTTAAAGGAGGCTTATTCAGCATCTAGTATCTACTATCTCAGCATCTTAGCACAGATTAACTAATATTATGTAGTTCCTTACGATCTCAGTACTTACATATGTGCTTAAGCACCATCTAGCATTAAGCTGTGCCATCTAGCGGTGGATAGCAAAGACTTTAGCTTTCTAGAAAGCAATAAGACCAAATTTAGCAACTAGACGGCGTTAGTGAACGCAAATAAAAAATAATTTCAAAATCACGATCACGAATTTTATCTTACAAAAGAATTCAAATAGTTTATTTAACGTAAAATTATCTTTGTTTACTGAGAAGACGCTTATCCAGACCCAGATTACTAAGACTACTCAGATTACTTTGATAGTATTTAGACTAACTGATGCAATAATTATAAGCAACACTGCATTCTAGTAAGGAAAAATAAAATTAAATTAGAACTCAACATTAGGTACATGCGAACAAAAACATAAAAATGCGTGTTTTTTTATATTTTTAATTATTACAATATTCAATTTACTATTGTGATGAGGGAAATGAAAATTTATATTATATATGTTAAAGAACATCATTCAGTGCTATGGATTACCTGTTTTTAGGGTTTCGTAATTTAAAAGGTAAAAAAGCTACCCATAAAAGATCACTATACAAAGATCTGTCCGTCTGTCTGTCTGTCCGTGTGTTACCACCGATTTTCTCAGGAACGGGTGGACTTAGCAAGTTGTACCAGATACTGAGGTCTATAGTCCCTAATCCCTAATAGGTATATAAAATTCAAGGTCCTGAGTCAACACGATAAAAAGATATGGGCAAATTTGGTTTTGCGCGAAAACTTGTAAGTACCAAAATTTACCTTAATTTTCAACTTTTTTATTTTTTGGATTTTTTCCTTTATTTGTGTTGACCTTGCTTTTTGCCAAATTTCGTGATTCTAGGTCAACGGGAAATACCATATAGGTTTTCGATCCAAAACCTATAGGGTACTTCCGGTTGAAGTAGAATTTTATAAAACAGATTTCCTACAAATTTGTACGGAACTCTCGGTGGGCAAGTCCGACTCGCACTTATCTGGAATTTTATATTTATCATCATATCTGCTATTCTGCCTCCAGGTTATGTCAATGTTAGAGAATTATTGTAATTTATAATTTTGTTTACAAAACGTTTTATGCCTACTAGCTAAGTTTCTTTCGTCAGTTCTCCTTATCACTGAGTTTTTTTCTTTCCGAACAGTTCAGCAGAAATTGGTAATAATTTAATGCTATTTTCGTGATTTTGAAATTAGCATTACCTACACGTATTGTGTTTTTAGTCGCCATTCATTGTAGACCAATCGAAATCCGTTTATTTTTAAAAGAAAAAACTATATTGAAAACCTTAAGTTTTCAATTATGTTCCCAAACCGGATTACGATTGGACTGTTATGTAAGTTTAAGGCCGCTACAGTCCACCAATGAAACAGCGCGTTGCGAAAGCATTCTATAATCACAAATATTGTCATGTACACGCAAGTCTCACTCGTATTGCAATACTATAGAGGTTATTATTGCATGAATGTTGTGAATTCTTTGGAATATGAACAACAATAGCAACAGATGCTAAAACATATATTTTTAAAATTGTAAAGAGTCTTTAAAAGTCCTTTCTTTTTTACAAGCTTAGAAAATAATAAAAAGCTTTAAAAGAAATTTTAATTTAAAAAAAAGTTTTATAATTTTTACCTATAATATTTTTTAGAATATTATTCAAAAGTAGGTACCTACCTAATTTATAATTTTAGTATCAACTCACCCTCGCTCCGCTCGAGTTCGTCCCTAGGTAGGTACGTTTTAACGCTTAGTATAGATATCTCAGAGATGGGAAATTTTCCTAAATTAAAAAGTATTCTA